ATATATATATATACTACAGTTTTTACTAATTACCCCTTACTGTTGGCTGTTTTGCTAATATGCTCAGCATTGCTTATCTTCTTGCCCAGTCTGATTATGGCCAACTGGTACAGTAAACACAAACAACCTGACCAAGAAGACTCAGATCTGTTGTATTATATAACCTGCTTGTTATGCATTGACTGAGGAGAGTTAGGAAAATGTGAAAGAACACTGTTATGATCCTTTCTTATCATTGTCACCTCACTGTTTGTAACTCATTCTGTTAATGCTGATGTAGCTAGCAGTTTATAAACAGTTTTCAGTCACTATAGAAAATTAATATCTTACAACACCTCGTGTATTTGCTTAGAAAAGTGGTTTGAATCAGCTCTGGTACTTTCATTCAGGTTTTTTTGTGATATATTTCTGCTGTGACTTTAAATTGTAAGGAGGAGAACTCCTCCCCTTTGAGTTGCTGTTCTGTCAACTTGGACAAAAAAAAAGAAAGAAAGAAAAAAAAGAAAAAAATAGCCTCTCAGCATCGGAATGGTAACACGACAATGTGCTTGTCAGACATCCTGGTACGATGTGGGACAGTTAAAGTTGATCAGGAGAGTTTTGTGTTTTAAACTCAAGTGTTAGGAAGTGTTTAGGAACTCTTCGGCCAACTGGGACCAGACTAATGGAAAGAGAGAGGAGGAAAGAAGGCAAATCTTTTCGCTCAGGCAGAAGCGCCATGCGCTGCCGGGGCAACATTTAAGCCTTTTCTTTATTTTTGTTGTGTTTTTTTCTTCCTTTGTAATTCTTCTCGTCGGGTCGGAGATGTGCTTTCCCGTCGCTCGGAGCTCTGTAGCATGATAGTGAGTGCGATATGTCGAACGTGAGGCCGAGTAAAAGCGCGGAATGGCTGCAACTCGAGCTGGAGACCCGAGGCGCGTCTGGTCTGCTCGTGCTGGACTACCGCTCGCACGAGCTCTACGAGTCGTCCCACGTAGAGACCGCCATCAACATGGCCGTGACGGGGCTGATGCTCCGGAGGTTCCGAAAGGGCAACATACCCGTGCAGACCATCATCCCCAAACACGAGGACAAGGAGAAGTTCTTGAGGCGGTGCAAGACGGACACGGTGGTCCTGTACGACGAGAGCGGAGCGGACTGACAGGACGGCGGGTTTTCCTCCCCGACCACCATCCTGTTCCTGCTCCTCAAAAAACTACGAGACGACGGCTGTGAAGCCTACTATCTTGTCCAGGTGGTTTTGAAAAGTTCCACACCAAGTACCCGGAGCACTGCGAGACCCTCCTGGATGGCTCGTGCCCGAGCTCGTCGCCCCCCATGCTGGTTCTGGGCTTCRGGAACCTGCGGCTCAGCTCGGATTGCTCGGACGGCGAGTCGGACCGCGAGCCCAGCAGCACCACGGAGTCCGAGGAGAGCCCCGTCCCCAGCAACCAGCCCGACTTCCCCGTTCAGATCCTGCCTTATCTCTACCTGGGCTGTGCCAAAGACTCCACCAACCTGGACGTGCTGGGCCAGCACAACATCACCTACATCCTGAACGTCACGCCCAACCTCCCCAACATGTTTGAGCACGACGGCCACTTCAGG